GCTTCATATTTTAACATGGTTATTTTTGTGTAGTCCAGGTCTTTATTGTCCAAGAGTGAGAAGCCTTTGAGAGGAGTTTCTTTAGTGAAGAGGTAATTAGTTATGTGATAGGGTTTTTTTCAGACAGTACACTTCTCAGTGGATTACCACATCTGGACCTTCCTACACACCAACTTGTAAATTCTGTGACATCGTATTAATTTTTTATTGGCTCTTGCTAGGGGAATATTTTTACCTCTCATTCAAAAGGAACTGATCGCGTTAGGCAGCCTGAGTACTTCCTCAGAGATGGCACAAATCAACCACCACTGCATCCAGCAGCTTAGAACCTCAGAGCTATAGCAATTCTTGCCAAGCCTGAACACAGATATAAGGACCCAAGAGTACAACAGAAGGTGTGTAATTACTACTTTTCAGCTTTCATGAAGAATCTTGTATGCCATGCATATATTTTATCTATGTAGGTCTTTTTCAGAAGTTAGCTTATGAGGTAGTTGAATTTTCCCCTTCAGTGCCTTAATAATCCATTTCAGAAGCTCAAATTAAGCAATTAGAATTCAAAATTATCTTGACAAACTGGAGAAATGGTCTGAAATAAATAAGATGAATTTCAAGGCTATTAACATTCAGTAAAGTTTCAAAACACAGGCCCCTAGGGGTAGGTGTCGTGACCAGAAACAACAGTAATAAAATTACAGAATGTGGTTGGATCTGTTACACGTGAATGAATTCCTACTGAGTTTAATATATTGTATTTAAACTTTTAGAAAGAGCTTTAAGCAACAAAATAATGACCTGCTTCAAATGTTTGTCTTAATGGCACTAAACTACTTTGAGGTTTTTGAACTGAAATATACAACTTAGACTAAATTGCTAGCAACGTTTGGGCATCCTACTCTATGATAGGTTTAAAAAACCCACCCTGTCACTACAGGCCGGTTTTGATGTAAGCAGTGATCCAAAGGTTTCCTGTTTTACTCTCTGCTAAAGGAGCAATGAGGAAGTGCCTGCTAGCGATTCAGTGTGTGCTGTTAGGAAAATGTAGGCCTGTGCTACACTTAAAATGTAGGTCAACATCCTATGGTGCTCTGGGGTATGAAAAATCTCTGAGCATGATCGCTATGCCAATCTAACCCCTGGTGTAAATGCAGCTTGGTTGAGGGAAGGAAGCTTCTATTGGCCTACCTACCATCGCTCGGGGGTGTGTTTGTGTGTGTTCATTCCTACAGAGAGAGAAAAACCCCATCCATTGCTGTAGGCTGTGTCTACACTACAGAGTTACTCTGGCATAACTATGGTACTGTAGCTATGCCATTATAATCCACATAGTGTAAATGTATCTGTAGTTTATATAGATGGGATATTGAAACTACAGAACTCCTTCAGAACCCAGAATTGAGGAGGGGTGGGAGAGGAAGGAACATGAAATAAAGCTCCATGGGCTTGTCTTCACTGCATGGTAGCTTGAGCTATAACTCACATTTTGTCCCTAGCCCGGGGTGGGCAAACTTTTTGGGCTGAGGGCCACATCTGGGGGGGGAAATTGGATCCACGGCCGGGGCAGGGGGTTGGGGTGCGGAGTGTGGGAGGTGGTGTGGTGTGCAGGAAGGGGCTCAGGGCAAGGGATTGGGGTGCAGGAGGGGTGTGAGGTGCAGGCAGGGGCCTTAGGGCAGGGAGTTGGGAGGTAGGGTGCAGGAGGGGTTTGGGCACTGGCCTGGCACCACTTACCTCAAGCAGCTCCGGGGTGGCAGCAGTGCGCACCGGGGCCAGGGCAGGCTCCCGTGCTGCTCCAGGAAGCGCTGGGACCCGCAGGCAGAAGAAAGGCGCTGTGTGCTGCCCTTACTGCACCTCCAGGTACCTCCCCCGGAGCTCCCATTGGCCCCGGTTCCCCGTTCCCGGCCAATGGGAGCTGTGGGGGACGGTGCCTGGAGGCAAAGGCAAAGCACGGAGCCCTCTGCCTCTCCCCCCCCCCCCCCCGGCCCAGGGGCCGCAGTGCTGGCCACTTCTAAGAGTGGCGCGGGACCACGGGGCGCAATCCCACGGGCTGGATCCAAAGCCCTGAGGGGCCAGATCTAGCCTGTGGGCCATAGTTTGCCCACCCCCATCCATGCACGACTTTTTAGCTCAAGTTAAGTGGTGCTTTGAGCTAACTGGCCCTTCAGGGATGGGGTGGACTTGAGTGCTGCTGATGCTGAAGCAGTGCTTAATTTTTGTCAGGGCAGCACCCTAGCACCTCCAGGCTTGGCAGTTCAGAGCCCCGACACCTCTGTACTTGCCGCATCAGTTATGAAAGTAAAAAAATTGCTTGAGCCCGGCACCTAATTGCTTGAGCCCCAGCAACTCTTTCATTACAAATTAAGCACTGGGCTCAAGCTAGTAATGCAGTGGGGATATAGCAGCTGAGCTACAACTGGACTACTAATCCAATTACTCTGCTAACCAAATCACTGGCCATGTGGCTGCTCACTTGAACTAGCGCCGAAGGAGTAACTTGGACTAATTCAACCAGAATTAACTGTTGCAAGGAAGACAAGCCCTAAGATGCTGTGAGAGGCTGGCAAAGCCCTTGTATATAATGGATTGTCTTCTGCTTCTACAAACAAACCAGAAAAGAAGTTGCCCTTTACGACATGGAAATTTGGTTTGGGAACCTGTACAGAGGCAGTCATGTTAGAGACAGTCTGGGCTCCAACTTGAAGCAAGTCAGATCTGAACTCACGATTCTGGGTCACATTATGGACAGAGCCCCACCTAGACCCAGCACAAAGTGGAAAGTCTGAGGGGCAGTGAAGGCTAGCACACCGCTGACTTTGACAGTCTCATGGTCAAGGAGAGCGAAATCTACTGTAGCAAAATCTCCAATCTGTTTTAACTACTCCCCTCTCTTTTCTCCTCTCCTATTACTTTATATGCAATGGGGATGAGAAACCTTGGTATGTTTAGTTTCTCAGATAAATAGTTAATGTTGTTCAAAGGTGGAAGCTTGAGTTCTGTAAGAAAGAGCCAATACAGTCCTGGTTAATAGTCACTACTACAATTCATTCGCTGCAGCACTTCCTCCTGCTTACATGAAACCCTGAAAGCAGAGCAGGCACTAGGCATAAGCAGACTAAACTATTGCTTAGTGCTCTGAGTAGCTTTGTATTATGTGTGTGTGGGGAATATTCTGGTTTAGGGCCCCCAATGGGCTAGCACCGCTCTGCCTAAAAGCTCCCATTTAGAATTAGGAAAAAGCCTAAGGCAGCAGCCTCATCAGGGTACATTTTGCTGCTAGTTTTGAAATTTTGGCATTTCTGAAACTTTCAAAAATTAGAGGAAACTGGTGGGGACATTTTTATACTGCCATAAAAATGTAAAAGCTCCTGATGACAGAAGTTTCCCACCTCGCCTCATGCAAGGAAAACCTTAGGGATAGCTCAGTGGTTTGAGCATTGGCCTGCTGAACCCAGGGGTGTGCGTTCATCTCCTTGAGGGGGCCATTTAGGGGTCTGGGGCAAAAATCTGTCTGGGGATTGGTCCTGCTTTGAGCCTTCCAACCCTGATCTATTCTATGACCTCTAGTTTTGTTTGGAGGAGGTCATTTATCTATCAATCATTTGTTTTCGGACAGTATTTATGTAACCCAGACCCAGCTTGATACGGATTGTGGAAACGAAGGAAAAACGAAGCTCGCCCCAGTTTGCCAGTTTCTCCCAGGTGCGGAGAGTAAGGGAGCCTGACTCTGGGCGTAGCGGGCCAACAAGCCACCACCTGTGCCCTGAAGCCAGCTGCTAACAGCTGGAGGGTCAACCCAAGCCTCCAGGGAAAGCGGTGGGGCATGCCCGTTTCTCATTGGCTGTGAGCCAGTGGCGGCCACGCCCCTCTCCATTGGTGACAGCCCTGCCTGGGTAGGTGTGTGCGGAGAAGACGTTGTGACTTCACAAATGGAACTCCGTCACCTCCCCCGGCCCCGCCCACCACGACCCCCACCTATAAAAGGCCCCGCCTGCTGCGGACCCCTATAGAGGAGGCTCCGGCAAGGGAGGCGGAGGAGGAAGCGCTCGCGCAGCCTTGGAAGCGCAAAGGTCTGGGCTGGAGCCGCTGCCCCCCGCCCCGGTTGGGGGGGGGGGGGGGCAGGTTAAAGGGTGGAAGGAAAAGGGCGTCTCCGCAGGGGGCAAGACCTGCGCCCGGGGGCGGGGGAGCACGGGCCGGGCAGCCCCGATTTCGCCCCTAGTTTGTTCAAGTCCATTCCCGGGGACGGGGGGTGCGTGTCCCAGCCGGAGACCAAACCCCGGGGCAGCCCGTGAGCCCACAGCGCCAGAGGTGCGGCGGAGCCGGTCCCGGCTGTGCAGGGCGCTGCCTGGCCGAGCTGAGCCGGGGGGTGGCGGCGGACCACGCCACCCACGGGTACTGTGAGGAAGCGATTAGCTAATAATTGGGTGTAACGCCGCCCCTTTCACCAGGGCTCTCCCAGCGCTGCAGCGATGTCTGTGCTAGTCCCACCTTGCAGAGGGGGGAACCGAGGACAAGGTTTTAGCTCAGTGTCTTGTAAAATCTGGATTTATACAATTAGTGGCTGAATGATGTTTAAAATAACCCCAAAGAGAAGTTTAAGAATTCAAAATTGCTTAAGAAACTGGTGATGTCCCTGAGAGCTGGTGCTTTAATGGGAACTCGCTAACTTCATTTTGGGCAGTGGCTGAACTTTTTTGAGCCACGCATTTGAACGGTCATTCGGGTTTGTGGGTGGGAAGGGGAGTGGGGGATCGTCTGGGCATTTGAAAACTGCAAGGAAATTGACATTGTTGAACTAGTATATGTTGTTACAATGGACAGAAAACCCATTGGTAGTTAGTGTGTCTTGGGGATTGAGAAGGCCCAGAAGAAATCAGCATCATCTCCCATAGTGATAAAGCCTGGAAATAGGTGTATTATGGGAACCCTAGTGGGCTACACACAGTACTTACTCAGATATTTTTCCTTGTAGTTGTGAGAGTGTAATTTGTCTCCAATTGACGAAGATGCATTCTTCAAAGCCCAGGCTTGTTGTTCCATATGGCCTCAAGACTTTACTCGAGGGAGTGAGCAGAGCTGTTCTCAAAACCAGTCCAAGCAATATCACTGAGTTTGCAGCTCTCTACTTCAGAGAGCTAATTGCATTTAGAGAAGGTTTGTTCCTGCTTATACGCTGTGATACACATTCAGTACATTTGAAAAGCTGTGTTATTGCAGAATGCTAATCAAACTGTCCATCTTAAATTTATACTTTTACCTCCAGAAAATCCTAATTTGGATATAACAGACCTGGTTAGAGAATTTCATTTCACTAGAGGTAAGAAAGGTGTCAAATGCTGCTCTTATTATGATACTATGTTTTAAAATACAGTATATTATGATTATAAGATAAAGCATTCAAACCTGCATGGTCATGAACAATCCCCTTTAAATGATCTTTTGACCATTTTCATTATGAATAGTAACTTAACATTATTTAGCACCTGTCATCACAATGTACCTTTACAAAGTATGGGCCTAATTCTATGAGATGTCAAATGCCTTCCTTTGACTCCTCACAGGCTGGGACTCTAAAGTACATACAGGAATCCCTGCAGACAGTCGCCTTTGGTGCTGCAGATGGGTACTGGGAAATACAGGCTCTCGTTTAGGGTTTCGTCTACACAATGCTTGTTTTTGGCACTTGACGTGCCATATTTCCATTTAGCAAAGAATTTCTCTGGCAGAGATTGTAACATGACTGTGTCACAAGGGGCCAAATCTCAGTTGTAGGGTACTAGCAGGTATTGCATTAGTGATGTCATATCAGATTTTAGTCTGTCTTATTGGCCTGGAGACCCATCAATCATCTGCTTGCATCATCTTGAACTGACATTTTGCTCACCCATCAACTCCATTATGACCCAGTCTTCTGTCTCAGTTTGCTCATCTCTGCCCCTCCCCTCTATTCAGTTGCATGTGACCCCACTGGAGTTGTGAAGGTTGTTGGAAAGGTATTCAATCATAGGCCACAAAAATGGCAGACTTTTCTCCTCCCAGCTGTTAAGAGAAGGGGAAAGGGTGCTTCTCAGAAGCTAAGGGTCTCTTTCCCCCCCTCTACCCCCCTTCAGTATTTTGTCATGATGCCACAGGCCTGGACCAGGTCTCTGAGACTTGCAAGTTGTCTCTGTGACATCACTGGTAGAGCTGTGCAGAAAGTAAGGTTTGAAAATGCACCTGGCTCTAGCTAAAAGGACTCTAAAGCTATTGTGGTAGCTTGGGCTGGTGCTCGGTGAGAATAAATTATTACTGGTTCAGTTTCTAAGAACTGACAGGAGGCCAGGTGGTCCAGGGGCTAGATACCGGAGTAGGAATCAGAAGACTTGAGTGCTACCCCCTTATCTGCTACAACTTTGGGAAAGTCACTTTGCCTCTGTGGCTCTGTTTTTGTGTCCTGCTCTATGTCTGTCTTTTCAGACTATAGGCAATTTGGGGCAGGGATTGTTTCACAGTCTGTACACTGTGCCTAACACACAGACCCCAATCTCAGTAGGAGCCTCTTGGTGCTACAGTAAAAACAAATAATAATGACTGACTGAAAGATAAGAACAATGCAATTTATTAAGCAGTGTGCTGCACACCTGGGCATTAAGTACAGGGAGAATGATCCTCCACACTCTGATGCTGTGCCCTAAACTGGTGACTGTCTTTGAGAGGATTAGTCAGCTATGCCCCAGCACAGAACAAATGCTCCTTGTAAGGCAAGCGGGAGGGAGGGAAGGAAAGTGCTAAGGACACAGGGCAGCTGTTGTGCCTGGAGATAAACGCATGTAAGTGATCTTCTACTATTGTTTCTGCAGCTGTGAAGGGAACTTTCTGATTGTGGTGCTGGGTTGTAAATGGTGTGTGCATTGAGAGAGGCTGGGTTGCCAGTCAAAGCATGTAATTTAGGGAGAGTTTCTGCTATTAGAGTTTAAATTTGCCATGAATAGAGGGTTCTAGATTTGTTGTAGCTCTTCTGCGTTCCTGCTCCTTTCTCCAGAACCTCTCTGGGTGATCTTACCCACACATGACATTAGGTACCATCTCAACACCAACTCCTTCCCCCTGCCCTCAAGAGCTACCTCTTTCCTGCAGTCTCCCATGCTCCTCCATTTTGTCCCATCTCTACATCTGTGCCATTTTTGCATGTGCAGTGGCCAACAGACTAAACACAATAAAAATAGAACTCCTTCTCTTTTTCATGTTTTCAACCTTGATACCCATGAAAATCCCATCCGTTTTTCCTGTTTCTCTTTCCAAAATCCACCCCTCCATCTCTACTGCCCAAACCTTGCTCCGAGCCTCCCACTGACACATACATGCTACTTCTTTAGGTAAGACCCGTGGGGAAGGGTTTATGCAAACACTCCAGGTTATTGGGGGTGTGTGTGTGTGTGTGTGTGTGTGTGTGTGTTCTCAACATATTTTGTATGAATCCAAAATGCTTTGATGCTCTAGGTAGGTTCCAAAGTGAATGATGAATTTCTAGGTTATTGGGGGTGTGTGTGTGTGTGTTCAACATATTTTGTATGAATCCAAAATGCTTTGATGCTCTAGGTAGGTTCCAAAGGGAATGATGAATTTCTCAGTTAAGTATTTGATTTGTTTTTTCCTATTGACTCGTCTATTTTTCCCCCCCACTACTTTTTGGATGCTGTGGGGAAGAAGATGGCTGCTACGATATGGGGGAAAGAGAGGGTTTAGCACTAGTAAAATTTTACATAACATACAGGCTAAAAGTCATGGAGCAGGATAAACAGGCAAACAGAAATCCCATGTTAAACTGATGTACCTCTTGCATCTAGAATGACCTGACAAATTCACTTTAAAGCAGAGGTAGCCTTTTTTTTTTTTTTTTGGTCCAAATGTCTTGGTCAAAGGGCAGTCAAGGTCCAGACTCCAGAGCTTTAAAGGCTTGATGAAGTGTTAAACAGGCAGGTTGTGCAGAGATTGTTGGAAGCACCTGCTAACTTACTGTCGTGCTCTTTTAATTAGTAGAGGGCTGGACTGATAGACTGCCAGAAAAGAGAGCTGACCTTGGAGACATAAGTGTGGTGTCTCCACTTTCTGAGGAACCAAAACGAAAGGAAAAATCCACAGACACAGAGGAGGACCAGTTGCACGAAGGCCCTGAACCTGAATACAGCAGCAAAACTACACAATACCCATCAACTCACGGTGAACTTGCAGAAAATGAACCATCCCCTAAGGGACCTGAACTTGCCTATGTCCCAGCTGATCCTGCACAGCTTGCTGCACAGATGTTAGGTAACATTGATTCTGTTCATTCTATGAAGGATGTGGCAACAAGTGTGCAATCTTTACCTGAACTGTCTCTGAGCTCAGTGGACACAACAGTTGCACCAGTAGAAAGTGCTGCTGAAGAAGCTACACTTACCCCAGCTGCTGAGGGTTCTGCAGAGTCTGTTAGGTTGGAGCCAGCGGTTCAGAGTCAGGCCTCCATTGTCCTAGGGTCCTCCAGCAGTCAGGCTGAACAATCAACAAGTGATGTAGATCAAGCTTCCTCAACCCCCTTGCAGGATGAACCACCACCACCTGCTCCTCCACCACCACCTCCTCCACCACCTCCTAAAGATCCATTACAGGCTGTGCCTTCCCAAAGCGAAATTGAGGTTACATCAACCATTCAGGCTATGCCAATACATACTGACGATGAGCCCGCTACTGAAGGAGAGGTTCCACCTTACATAGAGCAGTTCCCGCAGCAAATAGTCATTCCCTTTTTAGAACAAGTAGCTTGTCTAATAGAGATTCAGCAGCCACTAATGCCTTCACTAAATGCAGGTCAGTTTACATGCACTAAGCTCTTAGATCCATCTGCAGATGATGCAGAATTTGACCCTGAAAGAATGGAAACTACAGCGCAAATGGCATCAGCTGAGCAAGGTTTTATTATGTCAGGTAAGAAAGTCGGATGTTAATGAAAATTTCATATTCCAGGTTAACAGTGCTGAAACTCAATAGCTAAATTATTAAATGCAAGAACCTATGCCAGTGCAAGGCTATGGGAGAGATTGAACTTCCTTACTTTAGGGCACATAAGGAGCTTTGGTTTCCTCTGCAATCGCCTGGCCCCAATGCACAGGTATTAGATCTCTCTACAATTTGTTCCAAAATGTGTGACTAATTGTGAGTAAGACCCATAACTGCTCTTGGATTAGTGTTGCCTGCATCAGAGGAACATGTGTTCACAGGTTCCTGCAAATTGATTTGTTGTGGCATCAGAGGTGCAGACAGCACTTACTCCAGGAGCCAGAGTGGTATGTGGCACATACAAAAGGTATCTGGAGGTGTTTTGCCTTTGAACAGCCCTGAAAGCGTCTTGCTGAAAGTGAGCCACACAGTTTGAGGCAATGGCAGAGATTGAAGGTGTAATACATGTGCCTTGTGGCTGAGGAAGGGTGATGGGGGGAGGCCAGAACTTTGAATGCGGCCTCACTTTGAAAGATTTAAATCCTAACCATTGCATTAACATAGAGTTTTTGCATTTAAAAAAGAAATGGTGGTGGTTGCCTGCACTGTCCTGTTCTGCAGATGGGTTGAGGTGGGTGGATGAGGCACTTAGCAGGGGGTTCTGCAGATGGGAAGAGGGTCTGGCACTTGTCTTCCTGGTGAAGTGCCACTGGAACAAACTCCTCACCTGACAAGTACCCTATGCAGACTCTCCTCCCAGCTGCAAACCCTCTTTCCATCCTCTGTGACAAGTGCCAAGCCCACCCCCTGCTCCCAGCTGGAGAATCCCCCCCCCCCCCCCGTGTCCCCTTCTCCAGTGAGAAGTGCCTGCCTGACTCCCCCTGCTACTGCAGAACCCCTTCTGAGCCCCTTCCAGGCCCCAGGAAAGGTAGAGGTGTTAAGACATATCAAAGCACGTTACCGAACTATTTTGTTAAGCAACACCAAGGGATTTGCATGGCTGAAATGAAGGAATAACAATGTTGTAGCATGTGGCAGTGGTGCTGTAGTTATGGTTGGAGGCAGCACACTTGTTCTGATCCCTGTTCAGGTGTTGATAACTTTCTTTATAAAAACTATTCTTTGAAAACATTGGCAGCTAAATAGAAATTGCTGTCTAACTTTGGATGTCCAGCTGTAAAAAAAAATATTACCCTGGGTCCAGATGCATTTTTCTGTTTGGTTTTAATAAACCAAAACATTTAAGTAAGTTTTGACAAAACTGACTTTTTTTTGAGGGGGGGGCAGACTGTTACAATTCCCTTTGTGCTGGTAATTCAGAATCTCTCAGGCTTGGCAGCCCAAAAGGAAAATGTCTAACGTTATAAGCAACTGAAAAGAGGGACTTAGAACAGGAAGAGTTATGGTCTCTTTGGTCATAACTCCAACACCAATTCTGCTGCTGTTCTTTGCACTTCAGCTATGCAAAAATCCCCATCTGTCTTCTCTAACATGCTTTCTTATGGCATACGTAAGTATAGGCATGTTATATGTAAGAGTTTGCAATATGATTGCAATTCATAGCTCCTGATACCAGCAATTTTTTAAATTTTTATTTTATAGCAATGGCAACAACCGAAGCAGGACAACCACCACCATATTCTAATGTGTGGACTCTCTATTGTCTAACTGATTTGAGCCAACAAGGTCGAAAGTCACCACCACCCCTTCCTCCTGCTGGAACTGGTGCTCCTTATCCCCAAGCAACCCTCTATATATCTAGTGGGAAGGAGCAACAACCGTTCCTACAACAGCAGCTGACACCACAAGGTCCACCACAAGTATCCTCTCCAACTTATGTGATGATGGAAGAAGGCAAGAGGGGAAATGCACCACCTTTCATTTTAGTGGGCTCTACAGTTCAGAATGTACAGGACTGGAAGTCTATTCCTGGCCATGCTGTCCTTACACAGCATGACACAAGTGCTGTGAGGAGATTCACTACAGTACCTGTACCAGTTGCCAGGCCAGCAGATCTGAAAATGGCCACTCCAAACCCAAATTCTAATTCTGCACAAGAAACTGCTAGACCACCAACCCCAGTTTTTCTTTCAGTTGCCATACCCTTAGACGAGGTAATGTCTGCAAAGAGGGGCTCAGCAGCTGGTGATAAAGCAGGCATAAATCCCTTTGCAGGAAGCTATGGTATAGCAGGAGAGATTACATTTACTTCTGCCCCGGTCCGCAGAGCAGACTCGTGAGAAGGTAGGCCGTTTCATATTGTGCTCGTGTCTGCAAGGGAGACGTTTACAACTTCAGACTCTGGTTATAAAGTTTTGCTTTAAAGTCAGAGTTTAAGTTTTTGAACTTGGATGCTTAACATTAGGCGCCTAACCTGTAGCCTGGATTTCAGAGTTGCTGAGGCCATAACTTCCACGGAACCGAAGCTTGCTTGGCTTTGGCTAACCAGTGTATTTGACTTGAAGCTGGTTTGACAGTGGTTGGGACAGCCTAATTCCTCCTCCCATTCCGATGCACTCGTGTAGAGCGACTACACGTAGCATACAGAGCAAACACTTGCTACTTTCATTTAGGGGATGGAGGTTCAGTACGATCTCTAATTTTAGATAAAACTGCTTGCTCCAGAAAGGCTTGGAGCTGGTTTCTCCTCTGTACCTCCATTTGCAAATCCTGTAAATTGGTAGTTAGGTTTGAATTGCTATTTTCATCCTCTGCCAGATGTTTGAAATGGGAAATCAAAGCAGCAGGCACATGCACTGTAGATTTCTACCCCAGGTTACTGTGCATGGTACATGCATGTGCACAAAAGTATAAATTGTAGCTTGAAGACATAGGCCTCCCAACATCCTAGACACTGCTCATGCCTATTTCACAACTGCCTGCTGGGGACTGGTAGTCAACATCCCACCTTCTGGAAATGACTGTGTGTTGGGGGTTAGGGGGAAGAAAGAACATAATGCTCTCTGTACTTAACCAAATTCTTTTTCTTTAACAGGTTGAGAGGAGATGATGTCATGTGAACACCCCAGGATGGAAATCTGCATCTTAAAATAATAAATTAACTTAATACAAGCACTCAAAACTAATGCAATCCGTTAGAATGCCTTTTTGCATTTCCAGAGTGTTGGCAGAACACAAATTATTGAAGATAAGTATATAATGAAGCGTCCATGGGGGGGGGAAAAAACCCCCACCAGCAGCACAGGCAATAACCGAAAAGAATGCTTCCCCGCTGTAGCAGAGGCATTTGGTTGTGTCCGAGCCCCCTTAGAGATGTTTAGATAATAGACAAGTTGATCATGTAGTATTGTGTAAACATACATCCATCAAAAATTTCAAATTAGTTCCACACAATCCCTTTCCAGAGTAGGTCACATCTTATGCAACAGGTCTGTTCCTGGCAATGAGTTTAAGTGCACAGCTTTGACTCTGTAAGCAATGGCCTTATACTTGAAATGTCCCAAAACAAAGAAATTATAAGTGAGATGGTCAATGAGATTAAGGGTAAAAAAATTGCACTAGACTGCTTGCAGATGCTGTCCTGTGCCACACAAGAAGCCAGTGCTCAGTTAAAACCCATTATAACAGACCTTAGAGTTGCTATGGAAGACACTGTCTAGTTTTGCTATAGCTTTGGAGTCTCAAGTTTATTTCAGTCTGTCAGTGGTCACTGGGGTGGGGTGTGTGTCTCATTTCTGGGGGATTTCAGATGTTTAGAGAAGATGCTGATTTTAATTATCCAGTGAAAATTGCTTAGTGTCTGCATCTATTCTCTTAAGAGCCCTAGTCTTTACTCCTTGTGCTTGCTCCTTCTCTTGACCTGCTTCCTACTTTTAAAAAAAGAGCAGGTACCATCTCCTCTGTCGCAGCTTGAAAATAAAGGAAATCACTAGGAGATTGGATTTTGAGTAGCTATCTACTTCTGGAGAAGAAACTTACCTGGGAGGCATATGCCACTCAATGCTTCTCTCTATTTCTATCCAGTAATCTCTTCAAACAACCATTTGGAACAGAGTCCTTTCCCTGGAACTTAATGGGTTTCAAAACCCATTAGGTCAGGTTGCTACCCACTGTCTCAAACACTAAGGGTGTCACATGAGGCTGGTGGGGTGGGGGATGATTGCAATAAAACTTTAATATCTCCCAAATGAGGCAAAGAAAAAGTTTCTAGACTCATTTCAGGATAGCAAAACCCTTCAAAGTTTGAGACATCAACTTTAGTAGAACAGATTACTTGTAGTGATGCATGAGACGCCAGTGTGATTCAGCCTCTGTAGTTAGAAAGCTTCTTCCTTGTTTGCTGAGCACAGTTCTTCCAGGGAAACCACTGACATGACATACTTTATGAACCCAGAACTGCAAGGTTTCAGACACGCCAGCCGAAAGCCACACTCAGCAGGATGTCAAGTATCAGAGGAGTAGCCGTGTTAGTCTGGATCTGTAAAAGCAGCACAGAGGCCCGTGGTACCTTACAGACTAACAGACGTATTGGAGCATGAGCTTTCGTGGCATCCGACGAAGTGGGTATTCACCAACGAAAGCTCATGCTCCAATACGTCTGTTAGTCTATAAGGTGCCACAGGACACTCAGCAGGATGACTTTATAGAGCAAAGGCATCTACCTGGATCAGCTGATGCAACCCCTAGTATTAAAAAATGAATCTGAGAAATCAGAGCATTGGAACATTTGAAAGCCTTTATTTAGTAGCAATTAATGTAATTAACACTAACCTCCAGACAGCAATTAAAATAGTATACAAAGAGCAGCTGGAAGCTCTGTAGCCCAGGTCTGTATAAATATGTATTTCCACAAGATTTAAAGCACCGCAATTAAAGGGGTAAAGCTGGTGTGTACAGCAGTCTCCATACAGGTGCCTTACTTACTTCAAACCACACTTTCTAGGAGGAAGTCTTGTGCATTTGTACAGTGCATTCACAGGTGCAGTTTAATTTCTCCAGTAGTTATGTTCTACTGGGTCCTGATTTTTAAAAAGTTTCTGCAATTGTACAACGATGGTGCCAAGCACCTATAGTTTCTAGTGCAGTAAACAGATTTTTTTAAACCTCTTACTAGTGTTCAGTTCAGATTTAACTTTTAAATGGCTCTTAATTCCTTAACAAAATGAGGCTGTTAACAAAACATGAAAGAACAAATTCAAAACACTGCACTAAACATGGAATAAATACTTTGAGTAATGTTACCAGTGTAACCGACAGCATGACCATTTCGGGGATAATAGTTCTGGAATCACTGACCAGAATCCAGGATTCTTGAGTTATGTTCACAGAAAGCCATCTTACGAAAGTTAAGTAAATCTTTACAAAAATAACTTGCCCTCTCCTAGCTTCAAGCACAGAATAGTGCAATTCATACCTGTGCTTTTAAACATGTCTGTGCCACAATAAATCCACCCCAAAGGGCTGTTGTGCCAGCATAATCATTAAAAGAAAGGATTCATAGAACACCTTCAAATGTTCTATTTGCTATCCACCGAGACTTAACATAGATGTATTCAGCAAATAGGATAGCACTAACCCATCAGAAAAATGACAGCTCTGAGCAGTTTTGTCCACGTTCCCCTCTCCATAGACTTTCAGATCTGTACCACCATATTTACTGCAGGAGATGCTTAATATACTGTTCAGTAACTTGTCAGTTTTTCCAAGATATGAGTAGAAACAAGGAAAATTAAAAAGATTAAGACTTAATTTGCATTAGTCATGAGCTCCCTTTGACATTTTAATAAATGTCAGGTAAATTAAAGTAGTTTCTGTCCCAGTAGTTGCCAGAGTAAAGCCAGTCCTGTGCACCAGTGTAGGGATTGGGACCTTGATGGAACCACCTGTAAAAGAGGACAGGATGGCTGTGAGGAGACTAGAACACATTTCAGTGTAACAAAAGTTCAAAGCTGCTTTGGTGCATCTTTCATGTTGGTTTTCAAACCAGTTTACTGAGAATTCAGTGCTGCATCCCGCACTGTTTTAAGTCAGTTCAGACTGTCTTGATTTGCTAGACTTCTCCCTTACAATCCCAGAATAGTTTCTGCCTGAAATCCATGCGGATATGTTGTGATGAGTAGGTAGTAGAGATTGTTGTACAAGAAACTATTTACTTCAAAGCAGTTTTGAATAAGCCATTTTTGACATGCATTTAAGAACAATTTATTACACAAGGACACGAATACACTGCAAACACTGCATTCCTGAAAGCAGAAGTCTATTATTTCACCAGCATTCTGATTTCCCCAAGATTTTGAAACCATTATTTTGATAAGTGTCAAATACCACAGCTCACAATAATGGGGATCGGTGATTTGCTTCCCAACAGCAATACAGAGCTCTTGAGGGAACACATCACACACAACAGTTCCAGCAAGTTTTTTGCATAGTTATAAAATACATGTATTTATGTGAGGCATACACTGTAGAGCCATTCTAGGGCATGAGATCGGTCCCATTTGCATCAAGTTATTTTCGTGCTTCCTGGTAGATTCTGCTTGCCTGTTGCCAGAAATACTATAATTTCACTTATTGTTCAAGTCTGCAAATGTTTCCAGCTCTACAGTATATACACAAACATAGTGATAGTTACACATTTATAAGGTAAGATGTACTAAGGAGCCATACTATTGGTAAGAACACTTCTGATGTAGCATGGAGTCCCCTTTTATGGACTGAGAGTCAACAACTCTGCTCCTCTCACCCCAGCAATACTACATCATAAGATACCCAATGGTATATGTTCCTTTGTACATTATACGTCAAGAAGCACATCTTACCACAGCCCAGATAAGTCTCAAAAGGTATTCCCTCCAATACAAACACCCCTACTAACATAACATGCAATATGTCAACCTTCTCCCCAGTCTTTATTCATTTTTAAATCTGTGTCCAGTTAGTCATCTCTGCCTCACACCAATAACATATTACACAGCACCAGCCCTCAGAAAGGTGAACTAGATTTTTTTTTTTTTTAAATCTGCGTGCTGTATTTGCCAAATAAACAATGATCATGGCATCTGATTGCACCTGCTGTAAATTGCTTTATGGTTAACACCTCAGCTTTCTTTTGGAGCTTAATTCACCACCAAACAATCCTTGCTTTGTATACGCCACTGCAATTAACACGGTCTCAAGCAGGAGAGACTATTCAGGATCCCCGTAAGGTTTCAGAAAGATTTAATAAAATGGAAGTTTAGCATATTGGGGTCGTTTGGTAATTAAATGTTGCCTTTTAAAAAACAGAAAGGCTGATAGTGTTTTATATTTATATAAACACAGTGCATTCTATTATGTAATATAGTCTGTTACATAATAAAATGAGGTTGCGAACTGTAGCATGGATTAAAAAAATGTGGTGACATACATCTACTATATCTTGTACAACATTTTTGCAAAAACCTGTCCAAGTATTTAAATCATTCTTATCCTGTGCCAAGTACTAGTTAAGGTGAGAGGAAGGACTGTGGAAGATGCAGCAAAACTGTTGCATGACTTGTATCTGATCTACTGCTACTAGTTCACACATTTCAAGACCACAAGGGACTACTGTGTTCCTTTAGTCTGATCTCCTGTATAGCACAGGCCATAGAAATGCCCCAATATAATACCTAGAGCAGATCTTTTAGAAAGACATTCACTCAATTTAAAAATTGCCAATGATGGAGAATTCACCATGGCCCTTGTTAAGCTGTTCCAATGGTTAATTACCCTTCCTGTTAAAAATGTACACCTTATTTCCAGCGGGTGGTGCTGCAGAAGCAAAATTTAGCTTACTGGGAATAGTGTTGTTAGAGTTCATGCACCCAATGAAGTTAGCATGGAGGGGGCAGCTAAGGTTGTGAAGGATATAGGGTATGCTAGATCAACCACTACCTTGGAGTGATTGGAGGAGAGGGGAGAGGACAGCACGAATATTGCTTGCAACAGCATAGGTGTTCATTGTGTTTTAGTGAAAGACAAGGTCCCTGCGCCAAGGAGCTTAACACAGTCTTTAGACCATTTGCCAAGATTTTCAAAAGTGGACTAGTGACTTTGGGTGCTCTATTTGCTACCTGATTTTCCAGAAACAAACCAACCAACCCTCTGTGATGTCAGGCCCCTTTAAGGTGTCTCAAACTGGGCACCCAAAAATCACTAGACCCTATGAAAATCCTGACCATTATGAAAAGTAGTAGACCAAAAGGATAGGGATCTTGCCCTAAGACGTGCACTTCTCTACAGTGCGTAGTTAATGATGATTGCAGACATTAAGCTATGTATTCCCTAAACAGAGGAGCTAACATTTCTGGAAATATGTAGAAGGGTTCATCTCAAAATATGAATTGTTTTCTGCATAATTTTCTTAAATGGAGAGACCATAAAGCAATCTAGCTTTCCATGACCATGCCCTGATCTCATCAGAAGTGCCAAATGTGAATGCCATTGTCCAACAGATGGTTTCTAGATCCTAGCAATCTTTGAAAAATTTTCCCCTCTGTTTTTTATTTCAAGTAAACTAACAAATTCCTGATATAGAATGAGAATGGGGAAAGTGATAGGAAGGATCTGGAATGCATGCAGTGCCTACCTATTGCAATTTGTATACTTATAGTAATTGTTAAGGTAAGGAAACCTAGAATACACACTGGATTATTCACAATCACTGAAACAAATAAGCCCTGGCATTCTGACAAGGGAGAGGAGACCAAGTGTGTCCAGAACTTCACCATATATTAACTCAGAAGAATTACAAAAACATTGTTCTATGCTTGTCTTAGGGCAAACCAAGCCAAGCACTTCGAGAAAGCAAGCAAAAAGTGGGGGTGGGGTGGGGGAGAGAAGGAAATCGGACAAGTCCAAACCTGGGAGCCTGGGCTGTCAGATGACTTCAGTTGGAAAAGGGAAAAAATGCAACTCAAAGTTACAACTAGACATTCTGTGTAAAACAAACAGCATGATTAAGTGGCTTTACCACTCAGAATGTGGGGGTGCAGAAGCATTGGGTTTGCTTACCAGTGGAGAGTTCTCAAAAAGGTACTATTTCTAGACCCAACCCCAGAGGCTACATGGCACTCCAGAAACACGGAGCAGCACCATTACGCTTGTCTTGGAATAAGATCATTAAACATTTCTCAAAGGATGGAATACAGCCCAGCACACCCAACTGTGTGCTAGTTAGCAGAGCTCAATTTCTGGTAAAGAGAAATAGGATGATGTGCCTCACAAGTCTGATGCAGAGCCCACTGGAAACCTTCAGCTAGATTTTTCTAGTCTAAATTCCAAAGCACAATTGCCTGTGTCAGGTAGGAATGACAGTAAGAGGTTCAGCAAAGATATACTCAGGAAGGCGCATTCCCCACTGACTTTTCTGAATCATGTTGCAAATTCCTTACTCTCTTAATTCCCTTTTCCCCCACAGGGTGGGGATTTAAATACTCTCATCCTATTGCTTCCCAGGTTCCCTCACTCACGTTTCTTTTGCTGTGCTGTTTTGCACTACTGTCAAATAAATCCCAGTATGGAGTGCAAAACTAATGAGAGATTCGAAAACAACTGCAAAATAAGTTGTTCATGCACAAGGCAAACCGGGGTTCAATGGCAGCGAAGGACTGGAAATAAAATAAGCTGACTGAAATGAGGAATAGGGAAAGTTTGCAGTGGGCTTAGTTTTAGGCTTCATATTCCTGCAGCTGGACTTCGGCTGTCCACTCCACACCTTAGGCCTTGGCTACACTGGCGCTGTACAGCGCTGCAACTTGCTGCGCTCAGGGGTGTGAAAAAACACCCCCGAGCGCAGCGAGTACAGCGCTGTAAAGCGACAGTGTAATCAGAGCCTGCAGCGCTGCACGCTCGCTTGCAGCGCTGCAAGCTATTCCCCTCGGAGAGGTGGAGTACATATAGCGCTGCAGCTCTCAGCGCTGGGAAGTCCCGAGTGTAGCCAAGGCCTTAGATATACCTTCCTTGACATCAGAAGAAAGGCTAGAATAGTGGCTGTGGACCACGGAGGGCCACAGTGGAGCTTCAAATTCCAGTCATTGCATCAAAGGTGGCATGCTATTGGACACTGGAGGGGTCGTGGGGGAGGGTGGAGAGGAGAAAGTACAGGGAGGACAACAAGGTTGTTAGTGTATAGGAATCCTGGCACAGACAGGAAATTCCTCCCCGCTGCCAGAGTATTTCCGGTTTATATAAACAGGCACGTAATTCTCTGCAACAAATAACCAGCAGGTTTACTATCCCAGGTCTTCAAGTCTGGAAGTAGAGGTGAATTGCAGATACTGAGGAGCCTCATTACACTTCATGCTGCAGTGCTTTTGAAGCTGGCATTAGTTTTCCAATTCCAGGGGGTGACAGGCACTTTAATCTTCTAATCCAGAAGGAAGGGAGCTGCTCAAAGCCTGATAAGACTATACAGTCACCTGACTGGTGATGAAGTGTTGGCACAGCACAGCAGGTGCCCCTTCAAATTATTTGTAAAGTGGCCTTGAGTTATCACAGCACTTAGTGGAAGTTACTCTCCTGAAGCACTATCAAACAAAGCTGAAGCATTTCAGGGAACTGCATGGCATTGCCAAAGCTTTTTAATGGCTTCCTAGACTCATGCATGAAGAATATGGAATAGCACTTACATCCTTACTGCAATGTGTATTTTTTAAAAAAAATGCTGATGAATTTAGGAGAAACAGAAGGAGACAGTGCACAACACTACGACTTTGTAACGTGTTGACTGAGTCCAGAGATAAAAATGTGCTTTTATTTTTTGCTTTGAAGACATCTTATGTGGGTTTAAATTCTTATCTTGCTCAGCCATTAGTAGACTCATCTTATTCCAGATGGCAGCTGTAACCCCTCCATTAAAAGGGTGTTCCATACAGCGCCATGCAGCTTTTTTTTTATTATTTATTATTATTATTATTATTGGCTCTAAATATCCAGATGAAGAGTAGGATACATTCTCAGTCCTGGAGGGGGAAGGAATTTAGAGGGTCTGCAGAACTGGAGCCCTATTTTACTAATTTATAAAAAGATTCTAATGACTTGCAACTAGGTTTAGTTGGCAATAGGGTAACAGGAAGCCTACGTGAAACTCTGAAGAGAAGAGTGAGTCTGTGGGTGGCACTTAGACTCCATGTTCTCTACTACATTATGGTTAATGTGCAACCCCAAAAAGATAAGGGAAAGTCAAATGGATAAATAAATGCTCCAATGTCCTTCTGCTTTCCCACATCACCTACCTACAGCAGGGTGGTGGTAAGTAAAACCCTTTGGTCCAATAAATGTCAAATGCTGGGAGCCCAAGTATCCTTATGAGGGACCTATGTATTATATTAAGTTAAGCCTTCTGTTTCTAAATTTAAATTTTAATAGTTTAAGATTTCAGTTATTACAAACTGTCTGTATAACAGAACCTAAAAGACACTGGGAGAGCAAGGAGAACCAGCAGAACACTTTCTAAAACTGTTCTTTATTCAGTGAGGAATTCAAGAGCACATGTATATGGAGTTAGATAGGTTACTGAGGTGGATTTTAAGCAAAGTTAGAAAAAATCTAGCAGAATGACAGATCTTGACACAGTCTCAAAGCTTTGTTTATATAATCTGCATAATTGGCTCTCAAATTGTGATAAGGTTTTATGGTCATGCATCTACTATTGACACAGGCTTATGCCTTCAAAATGCTTGGCTTTCCGGGAGGACACATGAGGTCGGGAGAGACTGTAAACAAGAAAAGTTTAAGGTCACACAAACAGTTCAACACCTAGGAATCATGGCCACGATGGGTTGCAAAGTGTTTCTTGAGGTGGTGGGAGGGAAAAAAGTGTGACGAAATCTCAGCTCTCATTTAGAATTTTTTCCCAGCCCTTCTAGTTGTGAAGTTAGCTAGATCATAAACAGCTGCAACAGTCAGGTATATGGACCGGCAGCATATTGCGCCAACTTGCAGGAAGCAAAACCGATCATCATGTATAATGTGAGTAGTGTTTTAAATAAATATGCTTGATTGCTTTCCAATATAGTCCAAAAGGAACAATCCTTTGGTTAGTTTTTGGCACCGATGTGCACCCACAGCAATAAAAGTGGGTGGTTTTAGGGAGTCATGGATGTGAAGATCCAGTTAACTATTGAGTTATGTAAGAATCATTAAAAAGATAGGAGCTCCCTTCTCTCTGGGGCCAAGCACATTGTCTCCTCTGCTAGTTTCATCTACTGATAGTGTAGGGAGATCAGATCAAACCAGAATCTCTTCTATTGTATGGCAGAGCACATGTGTATTGGTCAGTTGTACAGCATCACAGACTGCACGTGTCACAGTGAGTGGGCGTCAGTGGCAACAGCTTTGTTCTTGACAGAACAAGTGATGCTCAGCAGGCATGACAGGTTGTTTAGAGACTGGGGGGGAGAGGGGGGTTAAGTGGGAAAATGAAACAGGGCTGATGTTATAGTGAGCCCAGTACATTCCTCACTAAACCAAGCATGACGAATACTCTGACCAAAAGCTCAAATAGGATAGTAACAGCAGAGCTGAAGAGGTCACCAACTTTTCTGGTGATTGAGAATAACCTGTGCGTGGACAGACAGCTAATCTGAACAGCCAAGAACTTTATCAAATGCACTGACCTTGTTTTCCAGTCTTCCTCTGACTTGGACCGGTTTTTGCGGACAGCCCTTTGTTTCTCTTCTAGCCTTTTTTTCTCTTCACTGGCTATATCTGAAAAGGAACAGAAGTTGAAAAAAAAAAAAAATCTTAGTTTCCTGATTACTTTTATTGAAGCCCCTGTTATACTGAAGACTCAACTTGTTTCCAACACTAATTTTGTCAGATCATGCCAGTTTTAAAAGCCTCCTTTAAAGAGCAGACCCAGCAAAGCAGAGAGGCAAGATTACGAGAAGCATTTCTGTTTTAGAAGTAAGGCCAACTAAAGGACAAGCTCTACCAGTCAGATTGATTAATCAAAGACAGGTCTCGGTGTACACCCAAACCGTGGGTTGAGCCAAGACCTAAGGAACCTGTGAATTTGTTGCAGTTCTTGAGAAGAGGGGCTTTAAGATTCCCTTCAGAAGAGAAAATGGTTACATTACTGGACTGGATTAAGACCTGGATTCAATCCCCACCTGTGACACAAGTTTGTGTGACCTCTCAAGTTGCTTCATATTTGGGCATCAACTCCCCATGACAGAGACAATCTTCAAAATGATCAGAGTTTAAAATTGTTACCAAAGGCTGATTTACAGCCTCTCTAATTTCTCCAGCTCCACTGGCTTATCGCAGCACTCAGCATGTGGCAGTATGACTGCTGGGCAGAAAGAGATATACCACCACCACACAGCTTGTAGATATTGATAGATCACTGAATGTTAGTGCATTCTGTACATTAAGAATGTAATACTAAATACTTTGGGTAAATAAGGATGCAACACAGTATGAGTCACTTTCACTAGTCACAGAATAATCCAATTTACAGGGAAAGGTAGAGACTGATCAGACTGGTCAAAGGAAGCAACTTGTCTACAGTGTATTTTAAAAAGTCTCAAAAGATCTCATTACCGATCTTTGAGAACTCCTCAGTACCACATCGTCATAATGCCCAGCTACTCTTTAACCCATTGATTTCAAAGTGCTTAAAGCAGGTGAAAAAGTGTTATCCCCATTTTACAGGTGCACAGATAGAGGCACAGAGGTGAAGTAACTTTCCCATGGTCACCCTCCAGGTCAGTGACACAGCTGGGAATATAACCCAAGTCTTTAGTCCCTGAGTTCCACCCTCCAGGCCACGCTACTTTCATACAAACAAGTGTTACAAATCAGAGCATCGAGCACCAAACCCACTATACAAACGTCAGTAAACACTGCACTGACACCATGGCGACAGGCATCTTATACACTTCTAGATTAAGAGAGACATGCAATTTGTACTAGTTAAACATAGACTTTGAGGAATTGCTTATTTCTTCCTAATGAAGTCTATTTTTTCCTCACCCTTTTGCTGTGAACAATTTTAAAGTGAGCATGCACTTCTTTTGAGGGGGGAAACTTAACTTCAGTAGTTTCAATCACATTACTGAAATTGGTATTTTGGATTGGTTGATGTAATGAAAGAATATTTTTGAGTGGAATAAAGAAAGACTTTGTACAGCGGCAAGTTCTAATCATGGCAAACTTCACAACTTGGCTATTGCCCTTCATAAAAGGTCCAATTAAAAAGCTTGACAAGGCAGCACTCTGTGCCTTCTATCTGGCCTCAGTCTCTTCACTCTAATTCAACAATAAAAAAAATTAATGCTTAAAATGGAGGTATGGGTAACATGCCTGGCATAAAGCTTATACATTTAAACATTTTCACTCACCCCTACAAGGACATATTTCAAAGATATGTTCCACCACCACCAAAAAAAAAAAAGCTTATCTGTAAAGATGGCTTGTTATTGCTTAAGGTAGTATCTGTAACCTTTCAGTTGGAGTTCCCACGAGTCGTTCAACTTTGACAAGTTATTTTGTATTTTTATTTTTAAAAGTTACCTATTTCACCATTTTCCATCGCTCTTATATCTGGTCGTAACCGGCAGTCAGTTTTAGGAACAACACTCTCCATTTCTTTATCCAATTCATTCAAAGCCATAGCAAAGCTAGTGAAATTGTACATCTGAAAGAGAAACAAAAATTAAAGGATCACTTTATGAAAGTTTTGGCTGCTAAGAGGTTCACATATAAAGAGAGAGCTTTTAAAAAATTGAAAGAGCACTGATATGTAGTAACATATAATTGTAGCAACTTTCTAATTGCTGAACTATTATATAGTAGCAATGTTAAGATGCTAGCAAGGTGAAAGCGTGCCAGGTATACGTGGGTGAATCTTTATGCCAGCCGTTCTCAAACTTTTGTACTGGTGACCCCTTTCACATAGCAAGCCCCTGAGTGTGACCCCCCCTTATAAATTAAAATAACTTTTTTATATATTTAACACCATTATAAATGCTGGGGGCAAAGTGGGGTTTGGGCTGGAGGCGGACAGCTCACGACTCCCGTGTAATAACCTTGCGACCCCTGGAGGGGTCCCGACCCCCAGTTTGAGAATCCCTGCTTTATGCTCATGTCTAATTAGAATGAGATCTGACTAGCCAAATAGGGTTGTTTCTCCCTCCCTCTCTTTGTCCTTATTCAGCCTCCCGGGGCTTTCCTTACCACCTCTACTAAAGCAACCTACCCGTCTCTCTATATGCACCTACATGACCACCCTGCCCGATTTTCTTTTGCTGCTTCCAGATCTCTCTAGCCACACATCTACTCATCTGTGCTGCTCAGCTGTCTATCCAGCTCAGTAGATCTTCATACACCCACTAATGTTATGTAGCCTTCCTCTGACTTATAGGTTCTTGTATTCCATGGTTTGTCTTACATAGCTTTTGCAGACTCTGCTCCTCTATGGACACCTCTGATGAGTTGTCTCATGCACTGGCTGTCCTGCACTAAACCCGCCTCCCAAATGGATGGCAGTACTTAAGTGGCAACAGAGTGGGATAGTGAATTCTCCAGGCCACCGCTAAGTAGAGCAATTGCCTAACTCATTGTAATCAGTGATTCTGTAGAGAAGTTAAGCTAAGCTAGAAACAAGCCAAGCGTGCACGCTGGTCTGTCCATCTTACAATACAAGGCCTACATATTCAGTTCCACATTACATAGCTCATTACAGTTTGTGTTGGGGAAGTTCAAGATCATTGCAGCAAAAATTGATTTTTTCTGTAAAAAAGTTATTTTAACCACTGCATCATGAGCAAGGGAAATCAGTGATTAAGATGTTCACTGTACATTTTAGTTTAACAACAAATTGTCAAAGCACCAAACATTTAACCAGAGCCCTGGCTAACCTGTACTGAATTTGGAGGTCTTGGAGCTATCCTCCAGAGTAGGATACTTCCAGGAATAACATGCACACTTTCAGAATCTGGCAAAGGCATCTCATCTGGTTCTTCAGAATTGCCCACCTATAAGAAGCACAAATACACGAAAATGTATCTGAGTCACAGGCTGTTTGTTTAAACAACATTAAACACAAACCATAGAACAGTCCTACACAGAAGCTACAGTGAAATGAGACTAACGACATGAACCCATAAAAATGCATGAAACATACCATCACAGAACACACATTCACTGCCCCAGTACTTATTTTGCCCCCTTGGCTTAAGTAATAATTTTAACACCCACTGGCTTTTCTAGATGCATGTCAAGATTAGAAGAGCCATCAACTCCTCAGAGAAATTAAAAACAAAAGCCATTCTATTTAGACAGTTCTGCCAATAGTTTTTTTACATTTATTCATTCATTCAGCGCGCAGCTACTGAGAAATAGGTACTTTCAAATCCACATTTTGAAGTTACTATTTGTTTCTCACCACCAGAGAGAACACTAATGTTAGGGGTTCCCCTTCCCCATTTAAAATATAAATCAATTTTGGTTTTATTTATGCTGAAAGTGCAGACCAACTTTTCTTTTTTATACTGTTCCATGGAAGCTTGCAAATAGTTGGTTGTGTGTTTCAGATTGTGTTTCAATATGTACACAAACATCACTGAAGTTACAATGAAGAGTGACTACAAACTAGAAGCACATTTTAGCCATTCTCAGCAGTTCCCTGGACATCATCTCAATTGATTTATAGCACTGAATAACACACTGTTTTTCAACCAGAAGGACGCATATCCCTGGGGGTATGCAGAAGTCTTTCGGGGGGGTACTCAACTCATCTAGATCAGTGCTTCTCAACCTGGGGATTGAGAGATGGGCTTGGGGGGGATTGCCCAGAGTCCCATGCCACAGGGGGCCCCGCAAAGCTAAATTACATGCTACAGCCCTAGGTGGCAGGGCTTGCATTTCAGCCACACCACTCAGGGCTCTAGCTTCAGACAAGGCTCACAACTGAAAAAACAGGCTCAAGTATCAAACTGGAGTATAAATACTGTACTTACATTTCAATCCATGTATTTTATAATTATATGATAAAAAATGAGAAAGTCGTCAGCAATTTGTCTGTAATAGGGTGCTGTGACACACTTGTATTTTTATGTTTGATTTTGTTAGCAAATAGTTTTTAAGTGAGGTGAAACTCTGGGTACATAAGACAAATCAGACGCCTGAAAGGGGTACAGTAGTCTGGAAAGGTTGAAAACCACTGAAATAACATACCCGTCACTACTCTGTATATTAATGACATCATCTTTCCTGATTGTTAAATACCCCTCTAGCTTCACTCTGTGTAGGATTCTAGGACCCCTAAATTCAGTAGTGTCCAGACTTCACTTCTCTTATCTGAGGACTGCACCCAGCATGCACAAGAAAGCTGTCTGCAACTGCCCTCCTCTTTAATGCAGAGGTGCAGTCTGCAGCATGGAATGCTCTCACTTGATCAGAGAAATCTCTTGAGTTTTCAGGATCACAACTGGTCACCCTGGTTTAATGGTGTTACAGCCTTAATACAATGAAGGGGCAGTATTCATTTCATTCAATCTGTCTGTATGTTAATAGGCTATCCATCTCTGCATGTATAGAGACAGGTCTAATGTCTCAACATCTTTTTGATGAAAAGGATAGCAAGTTTTTCCACAAAAATATTTTATCCCTATACAATCAAAGGTTTTATGGGAAGGTCCAGGATAATCTGCCGATGAGACATTGGCCCCCAGCAGCACATCCAAGTAGGTCCCCTAAAGAAAAGGGAAGTGAACCTACATGATGGCAGTACTAAGAGCAGAAGTAGCAGGAAGCCATGAGATTTTGGAAACACTGGCTAGGTGAGGCTTCCCATAGGCTATATATTTTCATGATACTGAAGCAAATCACTTGAGCATGAAGTGGTGAGACATCTTAGTGTAACCCTTACATCACTTGGAAGCTCAGAGTGAGCTTAAAGCAACCTCAATTCCTTGAAGCACTAACACTGCATCACCACCATTAGAAGGTGAAAAGTGGGCTGCAGTGGAGTTTTTGAAACTAAGAGGAACTGAAATCCTTTGTGGGTCTTAAGAACCAAGGGGCTAGATCCATGGTCAGACCCAGGCATTGCAACACATACCTTTTAGGCAGCTTGCCACTTGGAGGAACCCTCAGCCAGGCACCCAGGCTCTCTATGCAATGCATGGGGAGAATGAGATGCCTAAGCATGGGATTCACAGAAATCAGCAAGCTGCCTAAACTAGCTAGTAAGAAATGCTGAGGAGAGGGGAGGGGCCTAAACTGAAAGGTAGCCAGACACCCAACTTTTGGCCCAAGGGAGGCACCTATCTCTAGTCAGGATTCACAGCTATCATAGAAATGTAGGCCTAGAAGGGATCTCAAGAAGTCTTCAAGTCCAGCTCCCTGCCCTGAGGCAGGACCAAGTAAACCTAGACCATCCCAGACAGGTGTTTGTCCAGCCTGTTCCTAAAAACCTCCAGTGATGGGAGGTTCCACAACCTCCCTTGGAAGCCTATTCCAGAGTTTAACTATCCTTAGTGTTAGAAAGTTTTTCCTAATATCTAACCTAAATATCCCTTGCTGCAGATTAAGGGCAAGAAGTAATGGGCTATCTTCAGTGGACATGGAGGGGGAAAAAAAAAAAAAACAAACAAAAAATCTGATCGCCATCCTCTTTATAACAGCCCTTAACATATCTGAAGACCCCCCCCCATCG